CGACAACATTAAATCACGCAGTGCAACAGACAAACATTATGAGACAAATTTTTCGCTGATTCATCAAAGATACCCATGATCAAAACGAAGTGAAGTAACTGAATTAACGGGTATGATAAACAAGCAAAAAAAAAAATTAAAGTACCGATTAAAAGCAAAGCAAAAAAATATATATAAATATGCTTTCTCTTAGTTAATTTTTTTTCTTCTACTGTACAATAAATCGTTGTGAAAACTTTTTTTTTTTTCGTTTTGGTTGAATAATGTGACGGTCTTCCGTGTTTCACAGTTTTCAATGTAGTTTCTGCTCAGTTTACCTACAGCTTTAAATTGTCATCAGTATTTCATCTGAAGGTTATTTGTTTTTAAAAACAAAAACAACACCAAATTTTCCTCCTCCCCTCCTCTCCAACTCCCACCTCTCTTCTCTTCATCCAAAACATATAAATAGCAAAAAGTTTCTAAAGTTACAGAAACAACACCAGCAGAACGTATCGATCGTGATGACAGCTGCCTATTTTAGTGCCCTCACCGAACAGTGCTATCCTCTTTTTTTTTTTCTTATTTCTAATATCGTTTTTTTTTTCTGAATTACCACAGTTTTAATTTGTACATGAAAAATGAGACAAATAAATTACTGTTAATTAAAATATGATAAAAGATTATTATTTTATTCGTTGTTTCCATTTTTTTCTCTTACTTTTACAGACTTTTAAATAAAAAAAAATAACAAGGAATTGGTCGAAATTTTTTTCAATACAAATTCTTTTTGCATAAACTAACAATTCCAACTTTATTTTCGGTTTATAATGCATGTGTGTTTTGGTCAAACACAGTTGTAATATATATATTATTGCTTATTTTCCTGCATTTATTGTGAGTAAAGTGTTTAAAATCATTTTTTAACATCAAATATGAATTTCCAAAAAGTGGTTCAAATGCGAACTGTTTTCTGGACAGCCAACAAAGGTAATAGATTTTTTGTAGATAACGCAGAATCGTTTCCTCTGAGATATAAACCGTTAATTTTTTTTTTCAACTTTTTATCAACAATTTTTCTTGTCGTTATGTAATAAAAATTTGTAAAAAATTTTTGCTCGTTTTGACATTGAAGATATACGGTAAAATCTTTCAGACAAGCAAAGTTTGCTGTAATTTTATTTTTTTTCTAGGTGTTCTTTGAAAGATCCAAAATTACAGACAGTTGCTCCAACTGTTTTCTGCAACTGCTGCAAACTTCAAAGAAACATCCTCACAAAAAGATTTTTTGAAGCAGTTGAAAAAACCGCGGCTTAGTTTATCAATCTGTTAAATTCTGGTTGCTGGTTTCGTGGATTCTCATTAAGTAGTCTTCTTCTTAAGCGATGTCAAACCAGAAATAAGCG